TGACACCTGTTTAGGGGAGTCTGTTCTAAGTTAGTAAACCAGCTTTCCAGAGTCAGTCGTTGAAAGTAGTTGGTGCTGTAGGTTAGGCATTGCGCAGAGTCCCAGTCAATATCGTGGTTCGTAAGTCGATGATGTTCAGCAATGTGATTGTTGAAATCACCTTTCCTCGTCGCCCGTCTGTGTTCAGTCAGTCTTGTTGTGAGGTTTCTGCCAGTCTCTCCGATGTAGGAGGCTTGGCATTCGGAGCAATTGATCTTATAAATCGTTCTCTGTCTGTTCCTCGGTTCGTCCTTGTCTTTAACGTTGGTTAGTAATTGACGTAGTGTGGTGATGGGTTTGTGGGCGACGCGGATATTGAAGAGTTGTAAGATGCGCGAGATGTTCTCAGATATGCCTTTTATGTACGGTATGGTTGCTGTAGTCGTAGGAGTTGCGGTGTCGTTTGTTTCGGTAGTAGCAGTAGGTCGGTGAGTGTTTCGTCGGATAAAGTCGTCGTTGTAGTTGTTTTTTGAAAAAACCTGGTAGAGATATTTGTTTTCATCAAATAAGCTGTCTGTCGTGTTGCATACTAGTTGCGCGCGTGGTGTTAGAGTTCTGTTAATTGTGGCTTTGCGTGATGTAGGGTTGTAGGATGACTCGTCTAGTAATCTGTTGGTGGGCGTCGGTTTCCTGTAAACTGTCATCCGTAGTGAGTTGTCGTCACGGCTTACCAGACAGTCTAGAAAAGGAAGTTTGCCATTTTCTTCGACTTCTCTGGTGAACTGTATGTCAGTGTTTTTTCCGTTAATGTAGTGGTGGAATGCGTCGATTTCGTCGTGTCGTACGGCGGTGAATGTGTCGTCAACGTGGCGTAACCAAAGCGGTATCGTTTGTGGGCAAGTCGAAAGGGCGCGTTCCTCGATGTTCTATATCATAATTTCTGCTACAACAACAGAAACTGGAGACCCCATGGCTGTGCCGTATAACTGTTTGTAATGTTTACCGTTGTACTGAAAGTGTTGTTTGCTCAGATCCATGTCGAAACTTACAACTTCTTTATTCATTACAAGATCACTATAATTTATACAGAATGCGGTGTTCGTGCTTATGTGGATTGCATAGTTGTGCGTGCTGTGCGAGTGCCAAGGTGATAATTACATAGTGTAACAAAAGTAAGTTGACAGTAGCCAAGGGTTGTGTAAGTCCATAATGTCGTCTTTCGGTAGCGGTAGTGGGTCGGTAGATTGCCGGATTGCAGTCTCAGTACATTGTAGTGCCAATTGAAGTGGAATACTTGTAGACAGTGATTTCACATCAAATGACACTAGTTCGTAGTCGTCAGGTATCTCTACAGTCTTGGCAGCGTTAATGAAGTCCTCAGTGGATTGCAGTTTACGTCTGGATTTGTCGGTAAGTATTTGTAGTATTGTCGTCGGGTACATGGTTGGTATGTAGGAAAACCACAGAAGGAAACAATAGGTCGCATCGAGAAACCAGGTTTACGTGCATTCCATGTTAAGTGTTAATCAACATAGACTCCTAAAAATTTTGTTGTCTCTGCTAGTTCTACAACATGGTTCTCTAGAATTAGTGAATTTCATTGAGGCCTAAACATTATATCTCACAGCCAAGCAGACTAGTTTGTGAGAATATGTTAGTCCCTTGCTAACCATGACGATCACACTACACGATCCAATCAAATATTTCCCCCGAGTTGAAACCATTTATTTTTTAAGTAGTAAGAATCAACATACGTGGAATCTTCTCTCCAACAAGGGAGTCATCGCCAAACCTCTTAACATTTACAGTTTCTAGATGCTCGAAGATAGCCAAGGCAAACTGCACATTCCTCGGAAACGCTCGATCAGATTTGAAACGACACAAGTCACTACCCTGGAAAAGAAAAATGTGTGGCATCACGAACGCTACAAAATGTTCAGGATGATCACCATATCATGTGCAACTTGGTATGTTGATCCATTTAGATACGACCAGATCCGCTTCAACAGTTTATTAACTTTTAAGTTATTAAATCTACTTGTTTCTTTATTCGTTAATATATTTATAACATTTCGCAGTAGAATACCCTCAATATGGTCGATTTTCATGCAAAAATTGCCATGCAATTGTAGAATTATAACATGTAGATGACACAAATGATAAGCATTTTAATCACATACGGTGTGCACTTATACAACAATAAATACCCCATTATGACAATTTTCGTAAACCCTTACCTGTAAGGGAACCTTTTCCGGCGTGACTCTGAAGTCAAAGCGCTCATCTTCATGCGGTGACAGATCATCTGCAGAGCATCATTGAGATTTAAAAAAAAGAAGCATGCGCATTCAATTTATGTAAATTCCCGCTAGTTCATTTGTTGCCTTTAATCTAAAACTATGGCGCATTACCGGTCGTTACAGATTTAAAAAAATTATAATAGTTTCAAATTAACCTCACGCTTCGCGCTCATCCACTTACTTCTTGAATTGTACTTTACTCAGCCTTATTACCACTTATTATCGATGCAAATGTGTAAAAATTTTGAGTAAGTTTCCAACCTCATACAAAGGTGCAAACATTGTTTACAGTCTCTTACCTAGGGACTGGTTGTGATCAAACCCAGAAATACCACTCGTCGTATTGGTATTATCAGCTGAGCTGTCAGACATCTGTTAAAAGAAACAAATGTAAGGTCACATAATGATAGGTTTGAAGACAGACCCAACATTTATAACACCCACCTTGCTATACTTAAATAAACTACCTTTTCATTCTTTACATACAACACTATAAAAATTGTGACGCTGTAGACTTCTGCACATCATGCTTTTTCTTCCCCCACAAAAATGCCACCTTTAATGGTCCTTTTCGCCCACAACAATTTAATTCTCCTCCAAATAAGTCATTACAATGCTCGGATATTGCTTATTATATAGATAGTTTTGTTTTATTAATTTTAGTTTATTTATGAATTATCTCATTCTTCTTTTCATTTATTGAGTGAAATATTACCTCGGTGGAATTCAACGAACAGTCTTGATAAAAGTGTTCGCAATTGTTGATTTCTGAAGTTCCTGCAAAATAAATATCATCTATAGTTTCAATTTTCTTTTACTTACTTATTTTCATTTTTTTTTTTTTTACATAAGCTGATCAGAATTACACGCATCTTGATTGGCTGTTACTTGGAGTCTTTTGGAAGACAGATACCTATATTATGTCACCTTTAACAACTTCTGCTTCTTTATTTCGGGTAACAAATAGATTCGTAGTTGCCAGGGGTCAGTGCAGTGACAGATCACAGGAGACATGAAAATGTTACAGTAACAACTGTGATACACTCGGCTACGCCTCATGTGCCACGATTTTCTTTCTAAAACACTTTGACGTCATCTGTGATTTGTTGCAGAATAGATACATGGCAACATGGAAGCTGTTGGTAGAAAATGCAAAACTGTGGCCGATTTTTTAAATGGAGATAAATATCTGACTACCACCTAATACATTATAGAGAATGTAAAACGAAAGAATCCGTTGACGATTAAGTATCTTCTGAAAGCGGGCAGTGTTAAGCGCTTTAAAAGTAAAAAAGGCACTAATGTGGACAATGTTTATATCAACAAATTTAACATTTCTCTTAAACAATTCTCGATTTCTTTTAGTTTGATTTTCGGCGCACTGCACGTAACATATGTGCTCACTGCACCACACACCCACTCCAGTTGCTTTTTAAAGAAAAGTATAACACCCTCTCCTACTTCAGTCCACTGTTGTTGCATTTACGGAAGCTTCTCGTACATGCAGATCCGTCTCGCCATTCTGTTACCTGGTAGAAAAATTAAGCTGCCATCTTTCACAGAAAGGTGCCTGGCAAACATGGGTCTTGTTATCTTTTCAACTTTAAGTAACTGAATTAGTTGACATACCTATGTGGTCATCATCATCTGCCATTTTAGGGTACGCAAAACATAGCCCCTGCGAAAATCAGAAAGAAAACATGCTAACGCAACAGGTGGTAACAGATAAGAGTAAAGAAATTGAAATATGTATGGTTTGGTATTTCCAAAATAACTGAATACAAACATTTGCTGTTACTCTGAAATTAACGTTTGTTTGTTTCTGGATTTTCACTTTAAAACCTGATTTAGATCCTGCATTACTTTTGTTCGTGCAAGCATAGAAGTAGTATTAGCATTTTTTTATCATTACATCATTATTGTTATTATTATCATTATCACTATCATTACTATCATTATCATTATTATTATTATAGAGTGGGAGAACATTTTTACAACATATGCTGTACTCCTGGCTCGCACTACTTAATCAAGTTTTTAATCTAGTTACAATACAAATATTTTACCCAGGAAAAACCCAAATGTAATTGTAGCTCACTAGCTAGTTTTGCCCTTTTGGAGAGAAATGCATTGCAACGGGAGAAAAAAGCTCGGGGTGCTCAAACTTATCAAGATTTACTGCCATACAGAGATCTCCGAACGACGAAGATGAAGCAGTATGTGGTTGCAAAAGTGGTTTATTCGCAACATCGGAAGAAATTCAAGAAACCAAAGTAATCAATTGAAGAAACTGAAAATCGCAAAGAAATCGTTTCGAGAAAGTTTTCCAATGTACGTGCTTTGGCTGTTACACAAATAAACCATTTCCAAGCTCTCACGACTCAGAGATCTAGTACCAAAATAAACGCTCGAGAACGGAGCTGAACAGCCGTGGTTGTGAAAATGAGCGAGGATTTCTCAAGATTCAATGTAAGAGTGTGTTAAAAAGTATTTGCAGGAGAAAGACATTCAGTTAAGCGATGGTGGCAAAAGAAAGACAGTAGCAGAAATCGTTTGATTTAAGGAAGAAGCGCCAACAATGAAGTAGTAAAAACTACTGAGCCGCTTCTTCCAAAATAAACAATTCAAAAAGCTGTCCGAGAGAAATCACAAACACCCAAGGATACCCTTTCTGATTAAATTTTCCTTCTGTTAATGAATTGTTGTAAAGTTTCTGTAGTCGTTTTATCCATCATATATTCTGTTCATTTAATTTTCTTGTATGCTTCATAATTTAAACTTTACATAAATGTGTCGTCAGCTGGCACGCCTGGATTAGCTGAACCAAGTCTAAAAGGAATGCATCTCAATCTGTATTGGAAAAAACTATTGCTTTGTTGGTGTAGTTGTGTAATATTACTGTCGAACTTCGTTTTTCATAAGAGGTCAAATCATATGTAAATATTTACCTCAAAGGAATTCTTTTCTGCATTTGAGTCAAACTTCACCTCAGGAATCTCTTCATCTAGAGGCAGATCTTCTACGTAGCATTGATTAAGGCAATAAAAAAAATACATATAATTATGACGGTTGGATAATTCTTCTAGATCGAAGTCAAGCACCTTTTAAAAAACATATATCGCATAAGCATCCGTGCAAAAGCTAGTTAGGACAGTGTTACCAAAAGCGCAGGTATTACATTTCTTTTCTGTTTGTGTAATGCAGTATTCAAGGAGCACCGGACTGTTGTGCGGCAGGTCGAGGGTTCGAGCCCCGGCCGGACCAACACTCAAGGTCTTAAAATAATTGAGAAGAATATGCTACCTTTTTACAACATCAAGAAATGGTTAGATATTCCAGAATTTTCGGATAGGGACGAATAAATGGAGGTCCCATCTCCTGCGGGGTTAGGGGTCGGAGACGTTAATTTCCTACGCACGAGATTACTGTGTGATGGATGTCCTCCCCTGGGGTGGGATGGTGGGTACAAAGGGGTTAGGTGTCAATTGGGACGAAAGTTCTGTTCCTTCCTCCTGCCATTCCCGTGGCGAATGAATTAAATTTTAAATTCTAAATTCTAAATTCTTTGATTGGGTTGGTTGAGGTTATTATTCGCTAGAACGTTATTGATTGTAATTGGAAATCAAAAATCATAGTAACGAAACAGTGAGCGGGATAATAAAAGTGACACTAGAATAAGCTCGTGGGTGTACTGAGAAAAATAAAATTAGACTGTACAATAATGGTATTAAAACCTATTGATTCTGTGATTCCAAGAAACAGAATTAAGACGCTATCCCCACAAAAGTCCTGCTCAATTGATTGATTAGATGTATGCCCTCCCAAGACTCTTAACGCCGTGCTAACGGTACACAATTTTCAAATCGAATCTCCACGTCGATCCACTCCACAAGTTAACATGGATACATGCATGAAAAATCGCACAACCTTACATTTGTCATTTCGCAACCACATTGTATATTTCTTACCTAAGGGAAATTCATCAGCAAATTCAGAAATTCCATTGTGACTTGAGGTGGTGAGGATATTTGAAGAGGAGCTTGTAATATCATACAACTGTTGAAAGAAACACTATGATTAAAATTAATAATCTAGAATGTGGTACCGATGACATAATTGAAAAGCCATTTTTCTATGTTTAACATGCTGAATGTCTGTAAATCCTTTGCTAATAAAACCTCATTAGGCAGTCTTTAAATCAATTATCTTAGGGGAAACTTCCATATCTTTCTGTTCCTCTGTCCACGGTTCATAGTCTACTATAAACTAAATTATACTTCACCTCCAAAGTCTCAGAAGTGAACTTGGCCTCTGGACTAGGTAGGTGTGTGGTATTCTGAAATGGACTGCTTTCGTTAGTGTCTGGAAAAAAGCCGGCATTACAAATGATAATTAATACTATCATTATCATTATCATTATCAGTATCATTATCATTGCCTTCATATACATGCCCCTTTGCTTCGTGGCTGGTAATTCATCTATTAACAAAACTGGAAAAGAATGGGACATTCCTTGTTGTGTGACACAAGTTTAAAATGCCCTTAACACATCAGAATCCCATTTACAACACACTAATCTATGCTCCCTATCATGAAGAAGACTGGTGGCCACAGAGGAAGATGGGCACGCTTACAAAAAAACTGTGAAAGAAGATTAACAACAAGTCCCAATCTAAAAAAGGAAACCCCCGATAAGCTTTAAAGTGCACCTGACCCCTAAATTTTTTTTCACTTAAAAGAATCTTCATGCTTTGGTGAGTATTTCTTCGAAAAACTTGTTGGATTTGGTTAAATCCTAAATTTTTCATGTCCCGTTGAAGTACGGAAAATTGCCTTAAAATCACCGCCATTTTGGCTCGCGACCGCATTTCAAGGATCAATAGTCTGGCGACAAATGTGACGTTACTTCGAGAACCCAACAATTTGTATTTCGCGCCATTTTTCAACAGTTCCCTGGTTATGTTTGGAATGTTAGATCGATATTGGTCGCAAATATGCCGCACAGATGTGTTGTTGGGGGTTGTAGTAACGTCAGAAGCTTGGAGAATGGAATAGCGCTCCATACGATACCGTTTTACGGCGATAAGCGTCCAGAGACGAAGAAACGAAGGAAGAGATGAATAGATTTTGTGAGGCTGAAACGTGCTAAATGGGAGCCATGGAAGAGTTCTGTGATATGCTCGAAACATTTCAAGCCAGATGATTTTGTTCGAAACTACACGTTGTTGAAGGACCAAAAAACTCTATCAAATCCGTATGTAGAGTGAGACAGCTTCGGAATTACCGCTTTCCCGACAGTTCATACTGAAGTACATGAACCAGAGGACGAACAACCCCTGAGTAATCGAGGCAAAGAATGGTGAGATATTTTCACAAGTACTAAGTCTCTGTCCTGTCGTTTTAGGAATGATATGTTTCTACTCCCTTGTCTAATCAAGCCTTAAAAACTATGTACATATCCTCGTTTCTAGGCTATTAAAGCAACGATGGCAAGTTATGAGGAATCTTCTAAGACTTCGACAGTGGACACAGAAGAACCAGATCCCAAAGTGCCAAAGCTGACTGCTTGTACGAGCAGTGCAGACGAACCGGCCGGCGATGAGCTAGAAGACCACAGCACTGAAGATTTTCATGTACCCCAAGCTGACATCTCGAGCGCAGAAGAAGAATGCTCGACCGAATGCTCCAGTTGCTCAGCGTTCAAGCAAGAAAATTGGCAGTTGATGTTTTGTAACAAAGCGACGTTGCAATTTCCACACTTGCACCTAAAGTTCAGCAAATTTATGTTAGTAGAAAAATCATCCAAGAAATACATACACAATAGCGCCAGTAGCAATCATGCCAACACATGTAATGCATGACTAAAGCTCACGCGACTATGTATATAAGGAAGGAAGCCGCGAATCTCAACATTCCTTCAGTTCTACATTGCCCTGTAACAGGTCCTTAAGGCTTCGTTCGAGCTCTTCGTTAGCCTTCATTTCTTCTTGGTATTTTTTATCCATTCTGCATCAGCCAGTGGCTCGTCAGTATAAGCAGCATCGTCATCGCTTGAATCGCTCGAGGTTTCTGGTGATAATGGTGAAACGCGGGATGACTGCCCTCCGTCTTGAAGTTCGTATCCAGCGATAAAATTAATTTCCGAGTCGTCTGAGTCGAAGCTCGTCTCCATGTTCGATGATTCGGAAGACATTGTAATTTTCACTTGAATTTCAGAGGCCACGAAGACCAAATAGAATGAATCTCGTGCTAGAAAGGCTCTCGCAGATCGACGACTGGCTGAGAATTCCTTGAGCGTCTTCTCGAAGTGACGTCACAAGTCTACTCTGCCCAGATCCCCATTTGCGCGGTCGTGGTCCATTCGCATCTCGACTTCAACGGGACAAAAAATTTAGGATTTAACCAAATCCAACAATTTTTGCGAAGAAATACTCACCAAAGCATGAAGATTTTTTTAAGTGAAAAAAATTTAGTGGTCAGGTGCACTTTAAAGAAATTCCGAAGTGAAATAGGGTACGATAAACTGACACAGATGAATATTATTATAGTACAACACGGGAGCTGTTGATGTTAAAAGACAACTTAACGTATGTCAACACGAACAGGGTTATAGACACAAAGCACTATTTGAATGCAAAACCACAGACCGCAACTTCCCGATCCCGTGGAGTAAAGGTACAAGGTAGATAAGAAATCAAGGAAAGCGAAAAGTCCAGAGATTTATCGAGAACCTTTTGATTGATGAATAGATGAATCGGGCTTCCGCGTTTATAAAATTATTGTAGCCCCTTTCATAATTGATGATGATTTCTTTAGAAGGGTACAATTGTGCAACTCGTCTCACGCAGCTGAGTGCATGATAGTATCATGAACAGAACAATTGTAAACTTCCAAATTAATCTTCACGATCTGAACTCGGTGAAAACAAGGATAGGTCGTCACGTTTGGCGAAATTAAATCGTCCACTAAGCCTGGAAAAGGTGGTCTGGGTGCTCGGAAATCCAAAGGGGGAGTTTAGGAACCCCTCCTGACATGGCATTAGAAATGAGAACATACCTTAAGTTACAAAACACGTAGCAATCGACCAGGGGAAAATGCACGTTCCAAAAAATAAAAGCTCACTGACCAGGCGAAAGCGAGACATGAAGTCAGGTATACAGAGTAGCCGTGAAAATCTAGCCTTATATCTATTCATAATGTGCATCACCATAAACTTTAAGCTTGAGAAGACAATAAACCCAATTTGAAAATTGATTTTATAGCGCAATGACTAGCACCTGTAGAGGTCATTTTCTCCACTCGCACTACTTAAAGGTTTTGGGCATGCAACTATATGTTGCATTTTGTCAAAAAAAAGAGCGTAATTCTTCCTCCTTTTTCGAGACTTTCTGTTGATGGCCATATGTTTTCGAAGAGCCAGTTTCTCGAAAGTCCCGGTAACTTAACGGGCCCGTAAAGCTGTTCTGTTTTTATTCAAGATGGGGATTTCAAAAAGTTTTGAAAATGATGTAATAACAATAGCAGCTAAAGAAACAAAAAGGACTGGTTTGGGTGCCAGAACCTGCTTTCCTATCCTTTAAATTTGCTTTTAAAACATGGCTTCGGGCCCGTTAAGTTACCGGGACTTTCGGGAAACGGGCCCCAGGTCTGCTTAATAAGATGATTATTTTCCAAGAATTCAAGACACCAAAGAAACGGATCTGTTGGAACATTAACAAATCGCATTCGCTGATCCATCAACGGCAACCCTTCAGTAATTTTTACTAATTGTACCTGGGTATAGAAAAACGCTGTGAGAGTTGAATGCCTTACTTAAAAAAAAAAAAACCAGGACGCAACTGGCCTGGACTCGATCCTGTAGCATGGTTATCTCTTCAGGCCTCAAGAGGGGCATCCCCTTTTACTACTACATCATTACCTGTAACTAGTGAAGAGGAGTCCTTAACTGAAGAACGGCGGAATAAATGTGGGTTGGTAGACCAGGGGTTAAGACCCTTTATAGCTGTTTCGTTTGAAGAGAATCGTTGAGACGTTTCCATGGCCTCTGTCGAACACGGCTGTTGTAATCGCTCAGAAGCTTCAGCCAAGTCATTCGAACTGTTCATCTGAGGTGTGAATGTGGAAGAAAATGGATTTAGACTAGTTAAAATCTCCCGCACTTGCTGCAACCCTGGACCCTGGACCCTGGACCATGGATCCTGGACCCTGGATCCTGGACCCTGGACCTTGGACCTTGGACCCTGGACCTTGGACCCTGGACCTTGGACCCTGGACCCTGGGGGGAACGTATTGTTCATATCGTGTTTTGAAGGACCCGGAAAAGAAACTTCGCCGTTCTATTTCTATCTTTCTGTCTCTTCCTCTTTTTATTATTTTACTCCTTCAAATCAAAGTTTGATGTTTTTCACTTCTACTGAAATGCATAAAATGAGTTCAAGAGAATGTACTTACGCAGTGGCTTCTTGCCTCGTAAATTAATGTGAAAACGGGGAATTTTTGAGACGACGTCACGGATTAGACTGAGGATAAAAATTTTTTCTGATGGCAGCCCAAGGCAATGATATTGCCCTGACTTGTTTACTTTTTCACTTCAAACTTAGAAAAAGAAACACTTTGCAACTGCGTATCACTGCTATAACTAAGTCAACGCTATTTCTTCTGGCGCATTCCTACTTTCTGATTTGAGAATCTATCCTGGTCTTTGTGTCCCAGGAACTGCTAGAATAGGGGAATGGAGAGTTTGAAATACTTCCTATTTATCAGGGTTGCTTTTGTTTCTTGCCAGTAATGCTTGCTCGCTATTTCGCACGTGCCCACTGGCCTGGAGCCTCGAACAGGCGTTTAATTCATTGAGTTGTCGGTCTCTTAGCAAATACAATCCTTATGAAAATTCTATGTTTACAATCCTTTGTTTGCAATCCCAATGAAAATGATGCCATGTGTTACCTCAACTTCCAAAATGTATAGAGCTGAGTTGCCCTGTATGTTCTTCCATATGGTCTCTCCATCCCAAATTCCTGCGTATTCATCGTGAGATGTCGACATGCATTTGACAGGGCTTGAAGAACCAACTGTACAGGTATAACTAGAGAGGAAAGCATTCCAAATGATCGGTTAAGTAAAAATAAAAAACCCAGCAGTTATATTCATGTGTTTTCATTTCAGGTCTAAAGAGCATTCCCATCTCTGGCCAATCAGACGTACAAATGCACGTGAATAAGAGGAAATGTTGACTAAACAGTTCGCTTGAGCTTCATCTCGTGACCTGAAAATACAAGCTGAAGAGCTCTATTGGAAAACGTACTTACGGAAATGTAATTTAGATTTTCCTTACCTCTTACCACTCAAATAGGGAAATGTTTCCTCAAGCTTTTCCATAACCATTTTTTCCGACATATTCCGATAAAATGTTACTTTCTGTTTATACAGGTCGGGAGACTTTCGTAGATTTGCTAATTCACTCTGTGTAGGCATGTAACTTTGACCATCTATCCCTCTAAAATCACTGTTCCTTATCAAATACACATTTCTGCAAAATGGCTTGGCAAATCTCTTGTGTCTCGCACCACTTTCTACTTGTTCCATGCCTTGAAAATGAAGAAGACTTATCAGATGATAGCCACTACTACAACCCTTCAGTAGTTCAATATCCCTCTCTCACCGAGACCGAGCCGTTTTCTAAACGCACTCCACAGTTTACTTTTTCGATCTCATTTTCCAAATAAGTCACAGTCTTCAGTCTACTGAATGCTGTCGATCAATCTACCTCAGAACTTCCTACAACAACAACAAAAAAAAGCATGAAGAGTTAGACGTCACGGATAGCGTTATCAACCGACTTTGCTCAAGAAAATCAAAACCAGTTGAAATGTAACAAAGAGAAAACGCAAATGGGAGTTGACGTTTAGTTTAAAGTCAAACCTCTCACATCTTGGGATTGTCTGCACAGATTCCAACATAAACAATGAATCCACATCTTGCTGAACAATATTATTTCCACTTAGTGGAAAGTTATCTAACAATGAGCAATAATGTACCATTTTAAAAAAGAACACTAAACAAGTTCGCTTTGGGAAATCTATGGATTCCTTTCAAAAAGGATAACGTAAAACAAATCAGTGTAACTTAAAATATTTTTATACGTCACAGTCTTTAAAACTCTTAAACTTATTCACACTATAGTTTATTTTAAGTTCGTAATTTGATAGTTATGTATAGCGTGAGTTCGCTTTGCAGTTTTCTCTTTGCAGTTCGAGTAATCCCTTCATGTTCAAGAAAATGTTTGAATAAATAAACCGGACAACTGAGTATTAAAGCAAGGTTTTTTTTTAATAATCAAGGAAATGTCGCCTAGTCGATTGGTTCCAATACATTTGAAAATATTTTTTGGTCGATATTCTTGTAAATTTCGTCGTGTTGGTTGGTTTCGATTCATTTTTAAGTCATCTTTTAAGGGTTTTGCATTGCAATCCAAAGCTTATGTAATGCTTTATTGGTCAATAGAGTAAATGAAAGCGTTACCATGCAATTTCAATGGCAAAAACTAATAAAGAAAGTGCAGCAAGGAGCTGATAATTACATTGTTCTTCTAATGCGAATGGCTTTCACAAATCGAAAAACAAATTCATAGAAATAAGTCATATGGTCACATCGTCAGAGGTTTTTTTACAGTTCAAAATTTATTATTAAAAAAATCAATGATAGTCACTACAATATGAGACTTGTCAAATTATGTCATTACCGCTCCAGTTCCTGCCCTACGGCGTACAAAATTACCGTATTGCCAGTTTTCACTGTCACAACATCATCAAAGCCATTTAACAAAATGAAGTCAAGATGAATATTCAAACGGTTCCGCAAAGATTCAGGTCTGTGCGATATTTCGTGCGGAAGATATTCGAAGCATAGCCAGAAATTCCGAACCGCGCGTGCGCAATAGACCGTAAGACTTAGAATTTTAACGGTATTTTAAACGTGCCGAAGAATAGAAGGTTCAGTATGGAGATTCATATAAAAACAGTTTCTAAAATTCGTATTACGGACATAACCCCACCATCCCAACGCCAGTTTCAATGACACTCATTAGTACTTTCATTGCAGAATTTACTTTGTTTTCGTAACTCAAACACCCGTTGCGGTTTTCTCGGTTATTACTTGCAGCGTTTCATTCCAAAGAAATTCCCTTTACAACATACAAAATGGCGCCTACCTTCAAAAATGCCACTTTCTACAGTTTGACTCAGCCGAAATCCTCTCCTGGTACCGAAATCCTCTCCTGGTATCGATCCATCCCAATCAAAATGTTTAAGTTCAAAGATGTCACTCAACATTTATAGCAATTAAGACTGTGTATGCCCTGAAAATATTGCGGCTTTTTTCGTCCTCTTTCAGCAAATATGAACGCATCCACGAACCGTAACCTTACTACGATCGTGTGAAAAAAAGAAGTCTTGATTGCCTCTCTTCTTCCAACTAAATGCTGTGCAAGAACGATCGCCATTTTGATACTTATAGCTCGATGACAGATAAAAGGCTGGTAACTACAGGGGTAATTACGAGGCTAGAGGCTCGGTAGCACAAGCTTTTTTTGGAGGGAATTTCACAATTTTTTTTCGTTTTCCCGCGAAAAAAAAAAATCAAAAATCAAAACAATAATGAAAAATGTCTGATCGCTACCTCGTCCGTGATCCCCTCGTATCTATTCGCAATCAACCAGAAGCACAGTTAAAATATGTCACAAAACAACGTGTAGGTGGTAATAAAGTTGTGTTCTGGCTGGCAATTAAGAATGCTGCACTACTACAGTGGAACAAATTGAAAAAAGAAACGGCAGGCACTGCATACATTGACATAATTAATGAAACAATTCCTGGACAAGTGTTTAAGATCAGTCGTGAGACTGATCAAATTGAGCGCTGACTTTCAAATCGCCGTTCGGCCGCTTCAATCACAAATCAGACCCTTAACACAAAAGGAAATTGTAAAAACAGAAAAGAACACGAGGAGAAATTGTGTAGGCTGGCTATTTTGAGAAGTGAAGCGATCTCGGTAGAGAAGTGGGAGGCAGGTCTGCATTCCACTCAGTTAAAACTTGAAAAAGCAGAAGAATAAATCTGTAACTGGAGAGCAAAATATGAAAATCTTGAGGAAGAAAAGGAGAAACTAGTCGAAGAAATGCTTTCAGAGATTGAAAAAGATTATGCTAAAGAAAATGAAAGGACAAGAGAACTGAATAATGAGAATCAACAACTGGCTAAGTACATTGACAGGTTACAGAATGAAATGTCAGCTTTTGTAAG